ACAATAGATCATTCGAGATTTATTAATAACCCAAGTTGCAGACAAACTTCACAGGCGAGATCATAGGTTGCAGTGTTCATTACAGTATAGACATATTAGGGGGACATGACAGTAAATTATCCCATAGCGAAATAATGGAACATTGTGTCACCCTTGGAACATTGTGTCACCCTTAAAACGGTGTTGACATTTTGGGAGACCAAGGTGGGTGGATCACTTGAGGTCAGGAGTCCGAGACCAGTCTGACCAACATGGTGAAACCCTGTCTCTATTAGAAATACAAAAATTAGCTGGGTGTGGTGGCTTATGCCTGTAATCCCAGCTAGTCAGGAGGCTGAGGCAGGAAAATTGCTTGAACTTGGGAGGCGGAGGTTGCAGTGAGCCGAGATCACACCATTGCACTCCAGCCTGTGACAAGAGTGAAATTCCATCTCAATAAATAAATAAATAAATAATAAAATGGTGTTGACAAAAAGTTTGGAATGGCATGGCTGTGTATGGGATACATTACCTTCCTACAGTATATACATATGTAGGATATGTCTGTGTATGCATATGTGTGCTGAACAATAGTTGGGAGGGAATTACAACAGAATATTATTTCTGGATCATGGCATGTAGGTGAATTTTCCTTTTTTTGTGTATACTTAACTCATATTTTTTATTTACTACTGAAATTATCTGTATCTCAAATATCTATCTTTATATTTTATTCTTAAGTTGCACATAATTTACACTTTCCTGTGCCTTCCTTAAACACGTGGCATTTTTATAATCAGGGAAAAACTATTTTTAAAGACTCATTATAGAAAGATAGACAAACAGAGACAAATGGCATGTTTTCTTTCAGTCATTGGGGATGGATGATACACGTAGCAGAAGTATTCGTTAGACCAACAAATAGGAATAGTAAGTCAATATTGTTCTTTCTTTCATAAAAGATTTATATGTTGGTAGCTTATTAATCAAATACTACGTGAGTTTTCTAAGCAAACACATATACTTGTACACCAGGGCAGAAGAATCTCAATTAAGATTTTGTGTGGACTCCAGAAGTGTTTTTGTTCCCTAAACAATAGCATTAAGAAGGGAGGAAAAAGGCCCGACATCTTCTTGGATCCTTGGTTGGATGACAATCCTCCGGTGGTGAGACGTGGGGCCTGATTTTCAGTTTGAGTTTTCTGCTTCCCTTGTTTGTTTTTTTAAAGATAATTTAAAAGAGTCTGAAAGTTTATTACTGGAGAAGTCCATAGATCCTGAATTTATAGTGTCAGATTAATAAATTGTGGTCTTTGAGTGGGAATCTTAGTGGTTTATTTAGACTCATCAGTTGCCTTATTATTTTTCTAAAAGAAAGAAAACATTTATTTTTTTTAAGCTTGTATTGCCCTGAAAATATTTCTCTGCACTCTTAGGTCACCCGTCTATTCACGACAGGAGCACATCGCTTGTGTTACGAGACTAGAATTTTCTTCCTTAACCATAATGTGCCAGGATTTTGTTATATGGAAAAATCTGTCCATGTTTCCAACTAATATTTCTTAGCCTTCAGGCAAGTGCGACTTGCTTCCCTGTAAAATGAATTCCCAGGACCTACGGTATCGGGACAGGCAGAATTCTTTAAAATGCAGGGCCCGGGGCGACCCCACCACGTCCCGGTTGGCTCCGGACGGTCCCGGGCTGCCCGCCGGCCGCACAGCCCCCTCTCCCGAGCCCGGCCGGCCGGAGCCTCAGTTTCCCCGTCAGAGCGGGGCGGAGGCGAGGCTGGGGGCGCCCGGGCGGCGGGGACGCGGCTGACTCGGCCAGGCGCACCCGTCTGGGAGGTCGCGCGGGCCCGGGAGCCTCCAGCAGCCCGCCCGGGCCTCCAGGGCGCGACCCCCTAATCCGCTTTAGTCAATATATTGTGAGCTCCGCTCGGGCAAAGTAAACAGGCGCCGAACAAAGCGGCGGCCGCCGCCGGCGACTCCTGACCCCGGGGTCGCGCCCTTTGTTCGCCCTCAATAGGGCAGCCCCGCCGCCCGGCCCGCGGCTAATTGGGGCGCGTGCCGTCGCCTCTGCCCGGACGCGCCCTCGGACGCAGGCCCCGGACCCGCCCGCCGACTCCGACCCGACCCGGGCCTCGGACCCCGGCTCGAACCCTCGTCCCTGCCGAGGCGGACCGCGGGCCCAGACTCCGACTCCAAGCCTCCTTTCGAACCCGGGGGACCCACCGGGACCCGCCCCGCCCCGCCCCGCCTCGCTGCAGACCGAACTCCCCGCCCGCCGCGGACCCGGAGCCTCAGGCCTGGTGCCGGACTCGGCCCTGCCTCGCGTGCCAGCCCTGGGGCTGCCTGGAGGAGGCGCACCGAGGCCTCCCCGTCTTCAGAGCCGCGGCGGGCCTAGGTCCTGTGCCCCGCCAGGCCCGGAGCTGGCCGGCTGAGACTGGCCCGCGCCTCCCGCCCCGGGGCCGGGTGCTCCTGGTCTGCGCAAGGTCCCCACGCACTCCCGCGGCCACGTGGGTGCCTGTCGCCTGGAGCGGGGTTGGGGGACGCCGCAGCGACACTGCTCCCCGGGTCCCGGGGCTCGTGGTCCGCCTGTGCAGGCCCCGTAAGGACCTCAGACAGCCGGGATGCAGAGGAGACGTGTATTAGTTCTTGTTTTCCTTTTTCTGCTCTTTATTTCTGTTAGGAAGCCTGTCACACGGGGAAAAAAAAAAAAAGACGCTCCATCTATGCGAACCCCACTCCCCTGGTGAGGGGAAGATGGAACCCTTCAGACCCTCAGCACGTGGGCCCCCTCCCCCCCACAACTTCTTTTTCCTCCACATCATAACCTTTCCAGCACCTGGGAACGGTTCTAGGCCAGAGGAGGATGCTAACGCCATGAATGCATCCGTTGACACGAAATTCAGGCCTTGACCATTTTACCTCTTTCTTCGTTTTTTCCTCAAATGTTGGACAAGGTTATAATTTTTATCCTAAGAAGCTTTTGAGACTTAGCACTTGTAATTTTCATAAGGGTTCTGTTTGATTTTTAAGAAGGTACTTTCTTTTGTAATTAGGTGCAAAAAGGAAAGAAGAGAAAGAAGAGAAAGCCTTTGCCTCCCAAGACTAGTGGAATGGCTTCCAGTTCCTGGCCCGGCCAGGCAAGGAAGGCCCTCTGCCTGATTCTCACTGATTTCAGTTTTGTTCATCAGCTGTAAATATTGCCAGACTTTGCCAGGAAGACTTTTTTTTTTTTTTTTTTTTTGAGCTTGTTGATTGCACGGTGGAATATTCTAATGTGGAATTTGGCTTTGGGAAGACTTGGTGGTCAGGAGTTGTTGGCTATGCCCTGCTGTTGTGAGGATGGAACTGAGTAGGGGTCCTGCCGTGGGCCATGAGTTGGGGGAGGCAGGTGTGGCCATCACCTCGGTGTGCGGTGCAAATCTCCACCTGGGAAGGAAAGCCCCTGGGAGGCATGCCTTATAATTCTTGCCTTTCATAGAACGACTGCCAAATAGCCCGGTGCCTCTTTACCCGCCTGCCTCATTTCCGTGCATTTCTCCCAAAGCCACCACTTCTCCATAGCCTTTCTCCTTTCTGAGGAGCAATAATCCAATCTGATCAGCGAAACTTTGCCTCCGTGGAATGCTGATGCCCAGGCTGGGGACCCCGCCACCCCTCTCTCAGCAGTGCTTGCAGACATGAGATGGTGAGGGTTCTCCCAGGCTGTCCTCAACACTGATTGGCCTTTGATATTGAGACCATGGGGCAGGTGCCTGCCAGGTTCACAGAGGGCTGTAAGCAGGGATGAAGCTTGAGTGGGGCTTGGAACCACTCCGGGTGCCTGGCCAGGGAGGCTCTGGTTGCAGGGGCTGGCAGCCTGGCAGACGAGGACAGAGGATGGGGTTATTATGATCCTTCAGCTCAGGCAAAGCAGCTTTGTGACAAGGACTCTGGTGGGGCTGTTGTGTCTGTGATTTTATACCCAAGGTCTATTCGCCCCAGTCTAGTTTTAGGGGCTGATCAGAATGCACCTGGCAGGGAAAGGTGGGCACCTCGGACGATGGAAGCCACTGCAGGGGAGATGGGGGGAGAGTTCCCAAAGCCGGACCAGCTTAAGGCAGTTCTGGGACCTAAATATCAATGGGGCTCTGTTTTGCATGGAAACTGTTCATAAAATAAGCCTATGTGTGTATGAGTGTGAAGGGGTGGATGGTGATGTTTTCCTTAAAAAAACAAAAATGACAAAAGTGCGTGTGTGTACACAGCAGTCAGGGTCCCAAGTCTGTGTAGTATCAGGCCTAGTCACCACTCCATTCACCTGGGCCTCAGTTTCCCCAGTCTTGAAAGACCTAAGAGAGTTCTCGTTCTGTCTGCCACACGGGCCAGGAGAGTCATGTGAGGCGAGGTGAGAACACGTTGTGTAAATGATGAAGTGCTTGCTCTGCACACGTGAGGTGCTGTCCTTACTACCTTAGGAAAAACCCTCTACTCGGAGGCTGCTGTTTTAGGACTCAAATGGTTAGTGATTCACATGGTGCCGGGCACTTACTAAGTGATCAGGGTGATTTTGTTGACTTGAACCGTGGTGTCAAAACCCTCTGCACTGGCTATAAGAAAGAGGTGGGCTGAGCACGGTGAGAAATGGAGTTGAAACAGAGAGCACTGCAGGCCTCTGAAGGCCTTTGAACATGACAGCAAGATGGCCCCCACTTTGGGGGATTGGAGTGGACGGTTTGGAGATCCCCCTGGGATATACGCCTCAGAGCCCTACGTGTTTCTCCCGGGGTCCAAGCCTGTCATCTGTAGTCCTCCACTGCTCTGCCCAGCTTGGACTGCGTAAGCGTCTACTGGGCCCAAACCCCAGCCCAGTCCACACACTTGGGCCGTCTCTCCTGGGGGACGGGACTGTGCGGCCTCCAGAGCTGCCTGGCAGGGGGCACACCTTCTCGGTGCCCTGGTGCCGCACTGTGCCACGCTCCCAAGACCGGCTTGCTTATGCTTTGTCCTGATGATGATGAATGAGGTCAGCCTGGCTTACCATTCACAAAATAATTCTTTATTGCAGAGAAAGCTTTTCTCTATCTGAGATCTGCCCTTGTTATCTACAGCAGTTATGCTTTCCCTGGCTTTTGGTGTTTGTGTACGTGTAATGAGGAAGGGAGTGACCCAGGGAGAACGCAGGTAGGGCCTGCTCCTTCCTCTGGGCGAGGGACGTTCCACCAGGCCCTCGATCAGCCCCCAGGCCGTAAAGGCAACAGAACATTTATCGCTACACACACGCCTATGTATACACATTTATGCACACGAATACATATGTGTACACACACACATATCCCAGGATACTGTCCTCGTGGAGCTAACATTTGATATTCTAAGTATTAAAGTTTGAGGCACCAACAGGCTGTCTTAAAAGGCTCATTCAGCCTGTCTGCCTTGGAGCTATTTTATTTATAATTCTTCTTGTCACGTCAAAGAACTCTGTGTTTCTTGCAGACTGTGTTCGGTGGTTGAGTGTTTGGTTTTTGGCTACAGCCGGTTACTTTTTCCGAATCTGTAGGTCCAGGTGTGCGTTGACAAGGTTTTTCCCAACTCGAGAAGTTTCTCAGGGAGCCTTGGAGTCCTTCTATAAATTTCCGGCATTCTGTGTGTGAGAGACTTCCAGTTTTGGAGAAGTCGAGAGAGTGAGGGAAGGAGCGTGCGGTTCTGGGTCCGCTGCCTCCTCTCAGACAGAAAGTCAACGGGCAAGGAGCGCTTGGGAAGCAGCATCTTGCAGTATATTTAGAATGCGGAGTTGAAAAATTGATGGATAAGATATTAGCGAAGATGCAAACCTTTGATGATATTCAAAAACCCCTGCTTGTGTGCATCATTGAAAACCAAGCAAAATAGGAGTGAAAATACCTATCCACATCTCAGGTTACTTTGAAATCAATTTTAAAAATATATATTCATCATGTAAATATTATATAGACATTTATTTTCAAGGTCAGTGTCCCTTCTTGTCTGGGTGCTTACATTACCACCTTTTTGGGAGTTAAAAAAATGAACTTCCATGTTCTTTTAAAATTAGGAACTATACCAGAAGTTGCCCTATAAAATAACAAGAAACAAAAAAGCACTGGTTTTCTTCGTTTTTTTTTTTTTTTTTTTTTTTTTTTTTTTGCAGCAATTAAATATTGTCTTGTAGTGATAAGTTTAGTTAAAACACTTCTTTTCTTTCTGTAGAAAGGGTTCCTATGAAAAATCTGACCTTAACCTTGAAGTTAGCCAGATCTAAAAGCTAGGATACTTGGACATAGTCAGGAAAATGAAACTGTTTTTATATATAAATTAGTCACCTGTGTTGTGTGAAGTCACATTTGATTTTTTAAAAATAAAATGGGAGTCTCTCAATAAATAAGACCAGTGTGGTCAAATTCCAAACAACTTGTAATTGACAGTCCCCCAAAACCAAATCCCAATTTCAGTATGAGTTCCATTTGTGGGCAGCTTAAGTTTGTTGTAGTAATTTTAAAGAAGTAATCTGTGAAATCTTGATTTTAGTAAAAATTCCTGCAGTCCCTTGCAACTTAACAACCAACTATTTGACTTCGAAATCAGTTTTTTTCTCCTTTCTTTTCTTTTTCTGTTTATTCTAGAGGAATTTACCTAGCCTACTGAAGATCTGTACGATAAAATTATAAGTAGCACATAAACTTTTTAGAAAAATGTTAATTTCCCAATTTCTGATCATTCAATTTTAGAAATTATAGACGTGATCGACTAAAATTAATTCAGCACTCACTTCTTGAATGGTAATTTTTATTTTTAAAAAATTTAGTTTGGTGCCTTTTCTCATTCCTCATTTAAAGTCAAGAATCTGGCTTTGGCATTTGATAGATGCGTATATAATCAGAGATACTGGCCCGTCATCCTTAATACATATTTTCAGATTTTTGTTGTTACTTCTTTGGAATGGTAATTCCTCATTCCTAAGGGGAAATTTTTCATACTAGCATGTGTTTATTAATATTATGTACAATATATTCTTATATGATTGAACACACGCCTGTCGTAGACTTCTAGTTGTTTTATGCGGTCCTTTTAATTGAAAAGTAATAATTAACCCTTTAAGAATGCTTTCGGGGTCGTTAGATTTCTTTTTGAGATACATACGCAGGCGCCGCAACATGAAACATGAATGTGGAGACTTCCAAAGCACGTTAAAGGCGGCAAAGCGCTGCTTACACAGGTTAAGAACCAGACATGTGATTGCACGCGTGTGGAGCTGGCACCATCAAAGCACGATGTGCATGACTCACAGACGCAGGCACACTTAAGTATGTTCTTTACATTGAAAAGGAAAGGAAAGAAGATAGAAAAAAATGGTGCCAGCATGCTGGGCTTTTTTGGTTTGCTGTTTTGGGGTGGGGCGCACTAGTGCAGTATCCGGCGTATGCTTTTGTCCTTAAACAGGCTTGTTCCCTGGTCAGAGTTTCATTATTGTTGCTGGTAAACAAATGCCAAGTTTGACAAAAAACAGTGAAATAAAGCAAAAGATTTTGAAAAATGCTTCATCATGTCAGAAGGAAAGAATCCTTTTCACGGGTGCCTGCTCACGTTTCCTCGTCCAGCCTGAGATCCTATTGACTTTGAATTATCTTTTGCTGTTTTATTTCTATGAAAATTATAAACGCATGTTTGTCCAAGGCGGATTGATGCTTAGAGGTTGCGTATAAATAACCGAGAGTGAAAATAAACCCATCATGCAGTAAGAGCGTATGTTATTATGAAACAGGCCTATCAAAATGGACTCTCAAACCTGCAAACTACTTTGAAACAAAGGCAAAAGAAAAAAAAATCATAAGCCTGGTTTGCCTTTATCCAGAGTCCCCAAAGCTGCTGAGCAACTCCTCAAAAGGCACATTGTCTAGGATGATCGAAGTGGCATCTTATCCAGGAGCCACGGAAAACTTGCAATCTCAAGTTTATTGGGCTGGCTTTAAAAACATAATTATTCTTGGATGTGCAACTAAGTGTTCAGAACCCGAGTGAAAACGTGATTTTTCACTCACACTCGTTGTCCTTGCTTTAATTAGATTAAATGCATCTGTTTACTAAGTCCTCCTAACGTCTTGGATACTGAAAAATTTAAACTATTAAATGTCGATCGGTTGAGAAAAAAGAAACTAAACCGAAGCACCCCCCTCAGCCTTCTGAGGCTGGACTGTGGGCTAGGGGCTGGCGGAGAAAGCAAGGCAGCAGGAAGTTGCCGGCTCCATTCCCATTAGGCAGATCTGGGGAGAAATCAGGAAAAAAATAACTGTATAAAGCTGATACTGTAAACATCCTAGTACAGCAACAGCCTTCCTAGAGCTTATTTTCAAACATCTGACCTCAGGCATGGCTGTGGCCCACAGGCAAAAACCAAGTTTTTCTTCCTGGAAACTTGTCCATCATAGTGCTCAACGACAATGTAAATTTTCCAGGTTTTCTTGTTGATAATTTGAGCATACTTTAAAAAATATTATTTACTTTGAATAATATGATAGCAAATAGACAAAAACAAGCTAACCTGAATATTACCCAGTGGAATTACCTGAGTGCTATGATTTTTGCTGAATAAAGCAGCATTTGATTTCTGCATTTGCAACCAAATTATATGTAAATCCTTGCCAAGTACAGGGGGACATTTTTTTAAAAAAGTGTGTGTTCTTGAATATTGTTCTGACTTACCTGATTTCTTGCTTTACCAAATAAAAACTGTAAGTGGAAAAAAGGCATTAAATTAACTTATTACGGTGTGAGAGCAAGAAAAAAAAATCAGTTAATAAAAAGAAGGTTAGCAAGCCAGTATGATTATACAATGATTTCAGGTGAAAATTACAAAGCTAATATCCTGGCATTTAGTCACTGCGTTCAGTAATGATATAGTTGTCAAATCTGTATTTGTGCCAATGGAACAAAAGTTGTAAGTGGCATAATAGAAGATAATCTCTTTTTCTTTGTGGCTTTTTAAATTCAATGTTTTAATCCACCCATTTAATCACAAAACATATATCACATTAGTTATAATATTTATAGTGTTTAGGAACGTGATTATAAATAGATTATAGTGTGGTTGTTGGATGCGGTCTTTTTTTTCCTTTTTTCCCTTGAACGTGTATCTCCGAGGTATGCATCATTTCTAGAGATTGCCCTTGAGAACAGTTTTATTGAGAATAGTAACCATATATTTATGTTCAGAATCCCCATTTGGTCGTTACCGGGTGTGCTCATTATTTTGGAAAAACAAGATTCCATATTAAAAGGCCTGGTGCTTATGATGTTTAGATCTCTGCATTCATCTCAGTTTCTAAAGCATTTTTGTTCTTCTGGAGTCCCTAAACTTGCTAAACCACAAAATATCTGTAGTATGTTTTTTTAAAGTAGTTGAACCATACAGTAACGATGGGGTACAGGAGGAGTTTATAGAGCAGTTAGTGGTTGAGTTCTGCCTTGGTGTGGCCGGGTTAGGAGGGGCTACAGGGGCATATGTGGAGCTTTGGGCACTGCTGGGCACAGACTCATCCTGTGGGAATGTGTGCTTTTACCCCACACTTCCTATCTGGGGCTGAAATTTTTAATAGTGAAGAAAGAAAATTATAAAGCACAGTGCTAGACAGGATTGATTTTCCCTGCTGTATTGCTAGAAGGTAGACACTGCATGTCTGAGACTCAGGCTGCGGAGAGAGCAGTGCCCTTTTCTGGGGAAGCACAGAGCTCCTGAGCTTCCAGTTCTGGGCCCCACAGCCCTTGGAGCTGGGGGGTGAGGGGGAGACACAAGACCTTCCTCAGGAAAAGAGGGCGACCCACGCGATAGTGAAGCCACCAGGCAGCTGTGGAAAGGGAAAGTCGGTCCGGATTCCAATGAAAAGATTAATTGGAAAACATTTCTACTCCATTTTCTAAAACTGAGTTTTCCCATAGCAAAAAATAAATAAATAAAGCTATCCCTAGAATTCCTTCAGCTTCTAGAAAGAAGATGCTAGACTAAGATTCCAGTCCCCACCGCCCCAACTCCCAGGAAAGCAACTGGGAAGGTTTCTTAACATACCCTGAGTTCTTCCTTCCCTCACCCAAAATTTTCTGTGTCATGGGGTGGAGGCAGTGGTGTGTATATCAGGGTGGCTGGCACAATTCACAGCCACAATCATGGGGGTCTAGGGAGCTGTGGAAGGCAGCTCAGTGGGCAGCGAGGCCCTGGCAGAGTTGCCTGGCTGCCCCAGCCCAGCGTTGCCCTCCTGGGCAGTCTAATCCAACGTGAAATGAAGTTTCCTGGGAAGCAGGGCACACGAGGAACTTTTGAATTTACCAATGGCATAAAAAGTATATATATTTTTATGACAACGGGCAAGTTTCAATTGGTTGGCAGAAATGGCGAGATGTGACGTCAAGGGACACTGGTTAGAATGCCAAGGCCGGCGGCGGGGGGTTGGGGGGAGACAAGCACAGAGAGACATTGGGATGGGACCCGGGAGGCCTTGTTTCTCTCGGGCCCTGGCCGCCAACGGGCCGTCGCAGGCGTCTGGGGACAGCCAGCTCCATGCGGCTCTGAGCCAGGGCATGCTTGGGCAGGGGGACCGGGTCTGCGAATAGTGACTCTGTGTCCGAATAGTGACTCTGTGTCCGCGTGCGTCCCCGAGAGCCGGAGGCCCAGGCCGGCCCCTCTGCGGTTTGGGAACCACTCGGGCGCCTCTGTGGAGCGGGCGGGAAAAGACGCCGCGGCCTCCTTGGCATTCTAACCCGTGTCCGGACCCTAGAGGCCAGCCGGTCCCGACCACCCGGAGGGCCTGGGAAGGAATCGTGTGGCCCGGGGCCAGCAGTGTCGCCATCGGGCTCCGAGAGAGCAAAGCTGCGGCCTTGAACTTCTCCCCACAGCTCCTGTGCCCTGAGTCGGGGAAGCAGGAAGTTGTTTCCACTGGGAAGGAAGAGAGCGCGCTCGGAGCTGGGCAGCGGCTCCGGGCACCGCGTCCCCGCCCATCCCACGCCTCCCGGGGCACCGTGAACAACCCCCCAACCCAACTCCTCCAGGCACCTTGCGCGCCCCTCTTACATCTCCCGGCACTGTGCGCTGACCCCTGCCTCCGCAGGCCGGCTCCCGTGTGCCGAGTCCCGACTCCCACCCCTCTGGACACCCCTCGCTCCGAGGAGCCCGCAGTGTCCTGGAAGCCACCGCGGGGTCGCCCATGCGCGAACTCCGCCCTGGGGGAAGCCCGCTGCCACTGTCGGCCCCGAGCGCTGTCCCGGGGCCGCGTCGAGAGGTCCGCAGCGCACACTGTTCCCCGCGGGGACGAGCCTGGAGAGCCTGGCCGCTGTCCGCGACGCGCTCGGGGCTGCGGGCACCAGGCTGCGGGGATTGCAGGGACCGTCGGTCAGCCACGGGTCCCCGAGCCGGGCCCGAGCGTGCGCGCGCGTCCCGCTGCCCGCAATCATGGCAGCCGGCGCCTTGGAGCGCAGCCGCCGAGCGAGCCCCAGCAGCCGCCTCGGTGCCAGGGCGGCAGGGGCGGGCCGGGCCGGGCGCTCGCGCCCGCCCGCCTTGGCAGCGTGGGCCCCGGGGCGCGAAACGGAAAGCCGCTGGGTCCCCGCGGCGCGGTGCCCCTGCCCGGGGCGGGCGGCGGGAGGGGCTGCGGGGCGGGGACGCGCTGGCAAGGAGCGCCCGGGGCGGCGTGCCCGCGGGGACGCGCACGCGGGGCTGCGGGGCGAGGCGCGGGGCCCGGGCGGCGAATCCGCTGCTCGCGCCGCCTGCCCCGCCCGCGCGCGCCGTCCCGGGGTAGGGGGCGGTGGAGGGGGGAACCCAGGAGGGGCGGCGCCCGGTCCTCACCCGCAGCGGGCACGGCGGGGGCCGCGGGCGGCCTCGTTGGTATTCCGGGCGCGGTTGCAGCCCCGATCTCCCCTCAGAACAGGGGTGCCCGGGCGCGCGGGCACGGCCGCCGCTCTCGGGCGGTCTCCGCGGGCTGCGGGGCCCGCAGGCGCCTTGCTTTCCCCGTCCCCTCCTCCCTGGGTCCCCAGTACTCCCTCCCCCGCTCCGATCCGGCGGCGAAGGGGTGGGCAGGGAAACGCGCTCTCTGGGACAGGTGCCAACTCCGAGACAAAAGACATAAAATAGGCGGCAACGGGGGAAGCGCGGCCGGCGCGCTCGGGCGGGGACGGCGCCGCCGCGGGGGCCGCATCCTCGGTGCCGACCCGGGAAAGTTTGGGAAGTCGCCGCGGCGGCTTCGCAGCGGCGGGGGACGCGCGGCCCGGGTCGCCCTCCGCGCCGCGCTAGCCCTCTCCGCGCCGCTGCTGAATAATTCATGGCGCGGCCGCCGGCCATTAGCATGCACCGGGCGCGCGGCGCGTCTGTGCCAAGCCGCCGCCGCATTCGGCGCCCGGGCAGCGCGAGACGAGCGGCCGCGCGGCGGCCGGGCCCACGCTGTCCCCGCGCTCGCCTGCCCGGTGGCGCCCATTGTGCCCCGACCCGCCCCGCGGGGCTGTCCCCAAGCCCGCCTGCATCCCGCCGCCCGCCCGACGGCCCGGCTCTGCAAGTCCTGGCCCGCGACGCCCGCCCGGGAATGCACGTGAACTTGGAGAAAGTCGCGGGGCGCGCCGGCCGGGCTCTCCGCGGCAGGGCGTGGGCGTCCCCGGGACGGCGCACTTTCGTTTTCGTCTGGGACAAAGGTCCCGTGCGGCGCGCGGACGCCGTGACCGGGTCCTGCGGGCCACTCTCTGGCGCAGTCGGGTCGCTAAGCGCAGGGAAGCCGGAGCCCGAAGGCAAGGACCGACGCGGCGCGGGGCCGGTGAAGCGGGGCCTGGGCCGTGCGCTTCGCCAGCGGCCGTCCAGAGCAGTCCCACCCTGCGGAGTTGCGGGAACTGGCCCCGCTCTGTCGTCCGCCGCTTCAACGCGTGAAGAGGGTGAGCATTTGGAACCCAGGACTCAGACCGCTAGCTGAGGGCCTGTGCCGCTCTGGGCACGCGAGCGCGGCGCCGGCGGCGGCCAGGCGCGGTCCTCCCGCAAGGGCAGGGCTGTCGACCTGTGCGCCCCAGGTCACGATCCGGGTTCACGGCTACTCCCGAGGACGGTAAGTGCATTTCTCACTTTCGCTACTTAGTATTTAAATATTAATGAGGAGATCACTAAGAGGGACACTTCCGTAGGGCAGGCCTTCCACAGACCAGGGAACGCACCGAGGAGGTTGCTCTTGAACCTGAAGCCGCACCAGCTTGCGAAAACTCCACTCGGCATTAATCTGGATCTTGGAATTTGTGAAGCACAGCTTCTAATCTCAGGTGTGCAGGCTATTTGCCAGAGAGAATCTTGTTGAACACGTAAAATAAGCGTTAGCAGACATCTTAAACACAATGGGAAGAAAAAAGAAAACATCTGTTTTTAGAATTTATTTTTATTATTTTTTTTTTTGTTAGATGTGTTTGGAAAGGTTATTGGGAAGCTACACCTCTTTCCTGGAAAATTGAAATATTCCATTTAATTTCTAAACCCACACTGCTGATTTTTTCCTCCTGGTCAGACACTTGGGGAGAGCTGATTCAAGGGGGGATCCTCGGTTCGGCGTTGGCGGCATTTGGGCCGGTTCAGTGAAAGGCCCTTGTGTGGAAGCTGCTGTTTATAGTGGTGTAAAACGAAAAACAACTCATAACTTTTTGTAATAAATGCCCCTTTATAGGTGCCTCACACACAGGCCCAGCCAGTGGCCCTGGGGAGTTTGTGAGGAGCAAGAAAGGGGTGAAGGAATGCTTGCTTGCTATGATTATAGGGTTTCAAGGTAACATGGAGATTAATTTTTTCGTAGTTGTGTTTCAAAAGCCAAGGCAGCCTGCAGGGCAGCAATAGCTTCATTTTATTTTAGTTCATTGGTTCCAGCTCTTTGGGGTTTAAAATATGTTTGTCCGTGTGTACGGAGCTGGGGTTAAAATGAAACCCCAAACAGTGGGGGATTGAGCCTGCTTTTTAATATGATTGTGCCACAGGTGCAATATCCCCCCTGCCCTCCCCACCTTACTGAGGTGGTTTGGATAACCTTGCTGGGTGCTTTCACCACAAAATAATGGGGGGCCTGTTTCCATAACACCCCAGGGCTATGAGCTGGCTCTTGGAGGCTGTGTTTCTGGGAACATGGACAGAGGCCTGGGTAGTCCAGGCTTGCCTCACGCCTCCCTCCCCCTCAGCTGCCTAGTGCCCTCCCCAAGAACCCCACGGACTGAGGGGACCATTTCAGTCAGGTCCAGCCAGCCACGGCCGGAGGTGGGAAGTTTACCTCTGTGCTGGAGGAACTAACCTTGGCCGTCTTTTTTGTTGGGCTGCCTCCCGCACTGCCCCGTCGCCCCATTTTGAGTTTTTATTTATGACTTTATGAGACGCAGTTAGCAGACGTGAAACCTGGGGTGGGACATTCTGGGGCGATCTCAGAATCGGGGTGCAGCTGCGGAAGGCATGCCATGATAGCCGGGAGCTTCTGCTTGGCATGGCGTTGGCAGTGACGAGGTTGGTAATTAGAAGAAGCTCAAGTTCCACCGGGGCCTTGCCTATAAAATGCTGGAGACGTTTACCCGGAGGCCACAGCAGACGGAACATAGCACGGAGGACAGGAATGGTGTGGTGCTCTGCTGAGGCTGCAGGGCGTCCCTCTGGATTAAAACAGATCCTGAAACAAGCGGCATCCAGCTCCCCTGCTCGACAGGCCAGACCCGGGGCGAGCCAGGCAAAGGCCTGAGCGTTGGAGGAGGCAGTCTCCAGGGCCGCTGAGTGAGGGCTGCTATTCGTCAAAGCTCCAGAGCCCCGTCTCCTGCCACACAGTGTGCCCCTGGCCCATGAAATGGGATGAGGTCAAGATTCTGCAGCCAACAGTTGGGGCCAGCGCTGGGCACAGAGGCCCCGTCGAGGCCCCGTCCTGCCTTTGTCCATGTTCCTTTGAGCCAGCTCAACCTGACAGAGTCTCAGGGTCCCACCAGGGTCTTCCCAGTGGTGGTGGAATCTCCCATCCCGGCACAATTCATTTTTGAGGGCACACACACACAAGAGAAGGCTCTGAAAATGAAACTGGCACTTGTCTGTTTTTTAAATCACTTCTGGATTTAACATCAAGAATGTGGAAAGCAGGGGGCGAGGGCCACATGCACTATGGTGTGGGCTGGTGGAAGGATGGGCCCTGGTTTTTCTGGTTTTGTTTTAAACCAGGGCCTACCCCAGGATAGTCCCTCACCTGTGCTGGGGCCTCACCAGGCTCCAGCCCCTCCTGGGTGAGAAGGGTCTCCAGGGTGCTGGTGGGGATGAGCTGGGCTCCACTTGGGCAGTGCCCCTCCGCCATGGTGAGGTCTCATGCCTGAGCAGGTGCAGGCTAGCAGTTTGCCTTGCTCCACAGGAACAGCATGGTGCTTTGCAGCAGGGTTACCTTTTATGTGGTTTGCACCTGGCTGGGTCAGGCTGTCTGTGTGAACCTTTCTTACTCCCTCCGACCCCTTAAAGGGCACTGGGGCCTGTCCCAGCCCAGCATGGATGGGGCGTGACTGGAAGGCAGACTGGAAGGCAGACCCAGGAGGAACTGGGAAGAGCTCTGCCCACCCAGATCACCCAGATGGGCACCCTGCCTGGGCAGGTGCTGCCTCGTGTCCGGTGCAATGTCCTCTCGTGCAGTGTAGACGCATGCCTGTGCTGAAGGGTGGCCTCTAGGAAGGGAGGGGTCCTTCTAGGCCAGGCAAGAAACACCATAAAGCCACCGTGCTTCCTTGGGGTGTTGGGTTTTGAGGGTTCTTTGCACGTTTGGGGAGAGAGGAGAATGCTCTTGCCGAAATCACAGCAAGCTGGAGTCGGCACCCTGGGCTTCAGTCTGCCCCTGCCTCTGCCTGGGTGACCGTGGCACATTTGAGTTCCTCCCTGAGCCTGGATTCTGAGCTCTGAAGCGGGAAGAGTGTTAACCCACCTCAGAGACCTCAGACATTATTTCCATAAAGCACCATTCCAGGCACGTTGTCGGGGAGGGGCGGGACATAAATGGCTACTGCTATTGTCACTTATTGTTGTCAACAATAATCACTGTTTTTGCTTAATATTTATTTTATTTACCACTACTATTATTTTATATATTGTATGATGTTATATTCTAAGTAACAGATAACCCAGCTTCAGTCTCACCAGAAAATGAACCAAGAAGTTTACTCTCCCGACCCCACAAGTGGGAGCAAAAGTGGACCTTGATGGTATCTCGCGGGTGGACTGGCAGGAGCTCACAGAGCCCGCACTTTCCTCATCACAGGGACTTGGTGTGAATGTGGCTTCCAGATGCATCTTGCACCTCACCTTGGGTACACAAGATGAGACCAGGGTCTCCTTGGGGACCTGGGAAGTGCTGACGGAGGAGGCACCCCTTCCCAGGGGCAGGATGGAAAGCACACGTGGGTGCTGGCCTTGGGTCTGACCTTTGTTCTCCCACTCACTTCAGGGGCAGGAAAGAACGGGGTAGGACGTCCTGGTGCAGAGTCCCAGAGCGGCCACACCAGCCACCAGCGTCCTCGCTGGAAATGCAGATGGTGATTTGGTGGGAGGATTTCACCACTCTGACGAGCTAATTGTTCTTTGGCCTGGTACATTAACCAAAATGCTTGCTTTGGAGTTTTCCCTCCTAGCTGGTCGTTCAGGAAGACCCAGCAAGATCGTCCTTGCTGAAAACATCTTGTCGGAATAAGAGAGAGCCCTAAATGGCATTGGTCATGGTTTCTGATGTTATAGAACTGAGCAGAGAGAAAAAGCAACAATTGTCTCCAAGCAGAGACAATGGATCTTTCATATGAAATATTTATTTTCAGAGCTGCCCAGTGTTCCCTGGGCTGGGACAGTCTGTGGAGCTCGAGCGTCCGGGAATGGCAGGCCCTAAACGTGTAGTTGGAGACAGAGATTTAGAGAGAAAAAAGGAAGTCTCCTGACCCGTGGTTCTTGAACAATTTCAGTGGGCATGTCTGGCTTTCTTTGTTGAGTGGAGGCTAAGCTTGCACGAGTTAATTTTGTTTTCTTCCATGATTTCTTTTTAAAAGCCGCAGGGCTTCACTTGCGAGTGCTAGAACGATGGCCAGGTTTGGGACCGTGGGCCGGATGGGGCCTCCCTCGGCCAGACCCAGTTGGCCTTAGCCGGCTGGGTCACAAAATGGAAGT